GGGTCTGGAAGTGGGGATAGAATTCTGGGTGGTGAGGAGACACAGAAGGGCAGGGGAGAGGGACCTGACTAGCACTTCACTCATTCACTCAGGAGCAGGACTGGCAGCCACTGGCGCACTTTAAGGGCCCAGTTTACCTGTAGCCTGGTTGCCAGGGTCTCCACTGGGGCCTCCTCTGGGGCCTGGGTTCCAGGGCCAGGTCAGATCCACCCAGCCAAACCCAGCCAAGAGAAAGACTGCTAGAGCTGGACAGAGAGTGACAGCTCCTGACAGCTTAGCAACATGAGGGCCAGCAGAAGCCTGGACTGAGAGCTGATATTTGCACTTCCTCTAGGTCTGGCTGTCACTGTGGCAAGCACAGCCCATCTGTCAGCCACGCCCTTGACAGACCTGAGAGTGAGCATCTGGGGAGAAACTGGGCAGGGCTGATCCTCCACTTTAATGAAGGTTCATGCAGAGGAATGACCCCAGGGTTACGCTGAAGGGTCAGCAGTGGTGACCTTAGGCTTTGCCTCTTTGGGAGATACACTGTTCCTGGCAAGTAGAGATGGGGGCACTGAGCAGCTGCTAGGGCCATGCTGGAGTTCACATGACCTCTCTGTATATAGCTGTGTCCACAGGCAATTTTCTGTGACTCCTGGGGTCTCCGGGCTCACCTGCAGCCTAAGCAGCCAGAACAATTGCATCTTTCTGTTCACAGCTGAAGGCTCTGGGCACAGCTACTATCTCTGCCACCAGTACCAGCCTGTGACTTCTGTCCTTTGGACCTCAGTTTCCCTACCTGCAGAACTAATTCACTAATTGGAAGAGTGAGACACAGACATGATGGTGGTCACAGGGTACAGAGTCTGGCTGGCTGACAGCCTCAAAAACACAGAAATGACTAAGCCCCGAGTCTCCTGGTTCTCGTTTGGTTTTTTTCCCTCTTGGAAGCCCACATCATCCCTGCAGCCACCTCTACAAGTGCAGAAAAGAATTTACGGAGAGCTTCCACCTCAGGTGATGGGTGTCGGTGAAGTCCTCGCTCTAGTCTGCTGGTAAAATGAGTTGTCAGGCGTGCAGAGCTGTCTTCCCACAGGCGACAGGTGGGAGGCCTCTAGAAGCATCTTGACTCTCGTCTCCCTGGGAGATGCCAGGAGACACGGGAGACATTTCATTGTCCTCTGAGAGGGCCGGGGAGGTGCAAGAAGCCCTTCCCAGCAGGGCGAGGGGACGTAAGGGTCCCGCATCACAAACACTGCCCATGACCTTGCTGTGCGATGAACCCTTGTCCATCACCCCAGGGCCCTCAGTAGCAACTCACCTGCCTCTACCAGGTCTCCTCAGCGAGTGCATGTGACATCATTCCACTTCTTTCCTTGTTTTATGTGGTGCTTCCAGATCCCAGATGGGAAGCTGTAAGTTCCTGGCACTTCCCACAATTGCCAGGATGGATCCCGACCTCCTCCTGGCTAGAGAAGCTGCCCATGAAAATGTGTCTTTCTTTCCTTACAAAATACCACCACCCAAGCCAGTGCACGTGCTTCTCAAAGTGATGCCTTCCAGAGAAATGGGATGACAGTCTCCTTCACCTTATTAGGAAGCTTGGGGCCGGCCTGAGGTGGGGCCCGTCCTGCAGTCGAGAGAAGGGCCATCTGGCTCTGGATGAGTGTGTCAGCTGGAGGCTCTGGGCACAGCTCCTACTCTAGCACCAGCATCAGCCTGTGGTTTCCACCCTCAGGGCCTCAGTTTCCCCATCTGTAAAACTGTGGATAACTAGTTGGCAGCATGGAGTTATTTAGAGGCTAAAGTGAAATTGTCTGTGAAAGTGTCAGTCACCACATGTCCTTTCACTTCGAAGTCAGGAATTCATTTGTTTACCCACACATGAGGTCTTACACTCACAACTCTGGTTTTAAATAGCACTCATCGTGTGCTCCCAGGTAGACCCCTCATGTGATTGTGGCCTGCAAGCCTTTAATGAGTGGCCTGTCACTCAAAAGTAAGTAACTCCAGACTACAGCTCCCATCTTTACAGTGAGGGCGTCTCACTCAGTGACATCTACTTTCCTCTTACTTGGACCTTCTGCAACTCCAAGAAACATATTTCTTTCTTTTAACAGCTATTAGCTGGTGACAGGCTGGCAAGTTCTGCCCACACTGAAGACTGGTAAGTGAGGCAACAGAACCATAAAGGGAGATCCAACTGTGGCTAGGATCATGGGACCCTGACCTTGGCAATGGGGACTGTAGAGGGTAGGACTGCAAGGAACATGCTGAAGGGACAGGTTCTGGGCTTCTGGAGAGGAGAGGAAGGAAGGAACTGTGAACCTGGGGCATGGTGAGGGGGCATGGTAGCCTCTTCCCTGTGGTCCCTGCACTGCCCAGGGTAGATGCTCTTGACCTCTCTGAAGCCAGCTCCACACCTGTGAACCTCTCACACTGGTTTTGGCACCTGGGAGGGGCTTTCCACTTGCTCTTCAGGGAGGACTCTTACTCCTTCTTCAATGCCCCACTTACGCCCTTCCCTACAGCCCCAGGCCCTCACTTGGGCTCTGAGAGCCATCAGATCTGTCACAGCTCCTCAGCAATACCTTGTAGCTTAAGAGAAGCCACCAACACCCCCAGAACAGACAAATGAGCAGGAAATCAACTCCAATAAGACTTTATTTGTGGACAATGAAATTTGAATTTGATGTACCCACACGGGTGCATAAAATGTACATGGATCTTGGTACACAGGTCACAAAATGTTATTCTTCCTTTGAGTTTTTCCAATCATTTCAAAATATAAAAATCAGTCTTAACATGGACTGTACAAAAAACAGGCAGTGGGTCAGATTTGAACCCCGGGCCACAGTTTGCCAATTCCCACTCTGGCCTTGTATTATTCAGAGCAGGGTCCGTGGACCAGCAGCAGGTGCCATACCTGGGGGGTTTGCTGTGAGTGCAAGATGGCAGGAGCCCACCCCGCTCTACAAATACAAGGCCAATGTTTTAATAAGATGGCTGATGACTCATGTGCACTTCAAAATTAAAAAAAAAAATACGGATGCTGGGTGTCACCCCTAGAGATTCTAATTTCACAGAAGTGGGGTACAGCCTGAAAACTGTTTTTAAAGATCTCCAGATGGCTCTAATGTATAGCCAAGACTGAGTGAGGGCGGCCCTCCTCCTGGCTCAAACAGCTCACTGCTCTGAGACTCAATCTCCTTTCCCTTAGACAAAGAAGGTTTGGGAGATGGAAATATTTTCCTGCGCTAGCCCCACCCCAAGGAAGGCAGCCTCCTGCCCCAGGGCCTTCCTACCTCCCCCTGCAATCAGTGAGCTTAAGTTTCTTCCCTTGGGAACCCAGAGACCTCAGGCCAGCACAGGTTCCTGGCTTCCCAAAGACTCTGAGGGAAAGAGAACAAACAGGCAACCACCCATTCACCAACCCCATGGAGGAATGCGCTGCAGACTACCCCATTCAGTCCTGCAGCCCTTTCCTCCCTCCCATGGAATCCCCATTTCCTAGGTCTACCACCTTCTCCTCTCTTTGATGGTCACAGTACCTGGTCAGCCTGGTCAGAGGCACACAGGGGCCTCCAGAACTCTCTAGGGGAGGGCTGAGGAACATATGGTAGCCCTCCCAAGCAACAGCCATCATGCCTGCTACACAATCTCACCGGTCTATCCTCAAGCCACAGGCCAGTCCAGCACTTTGGTCAGAGACAAGTTCAGGAATGTTCTGAACTCTCTCTTCCCCAAGACCTTCCCCGCCAATGTGACAAGCTCCCAAAAGCTTGTGTGGGGAGTCCCCACCACAAGCAAGCTTCCAAAATCTTAGAAGGAGCTGCAGAGATCATCATTCATTCTTATGGGAAAACCTGGGTGCAGGGAAGGGGAAAGAGTGGCCCAGGAGAATGGCTGACAGAGAACAATGCGCCCTTTCCCTCATCTAAACCGGCCGTCCCCTCTGGCAGGGCCCCTGCAGCCCCCTCAGCAGGCTTAGGAATAGAACTCTTAGGAAGATAGAAAGCCAGAGAAAGCTTTTGACCAACAGTGTCCCTGTTCCTCACCCACCTGCATGCCTAGCCCAGACCTGTGGAGGCCAGAGCAGGCAACTGTGCAACTCACCTCCTTCTCAGCACAAAACAAAAATAGCTATTATTGCTGGAGCACTCACTAAGTGACAGGTGCTGTGCTAGGAACTATGGTTCTCTGAGGTCATTATTTTGTATCCTCATTTAATAAACAATCAGAATGAGGATTACAGAGGCAAATCAGCAGCCCTATGGTCACACACCAGTAGTAGGAGGGGTACTCAAGAAAAACCTGCAAATTCCAAGGCATCTCTGATCTCTTGTTCACTGTGCTCAACCCTGGGTTTGTCTGGCTCTTTCCCTGGAGCTCTCAGACGGGCTGGCAGTGAGCCTCTGGGGGCCATGTCCATTCAACAGATGCTTCAAAGGCATCAGGGAAGAATGAGGGACAGGCTAGAGCACAAGTACATCCACTGAGGAAGCTCAGCTCCTCTGCCGACCTGCAGACCCTCCCCTATAGCCCAAGCAGAGGCCTCCTGACCAAGACCACCTGGCATCAAAGTGAACACATGAACTCAGGGATCACCAGATGCAGGACTGGATCTCTGGTCTAGGCCTCAGTTTTTCCATCCATAAAATGGGAATACCTTTCTAGCAGGGTCTCTGGAAAAAACAAAGTTGTGAGAAGACCGCTGGCAGGTGATAACAAGTGACCCTGCTGCTCAGTGGGTTCTTCTTCCTCCCAGGAGTGCTCAGGAGCCCAATTTCCCCAGAAGGAAACAGAAGGAAGGAGTTGCCTGTGCAGAGCCTCCTGGAATGTGGCAAGGCGTCTTGGCACTGAACCCTGCCTTACAGCCCTTCTTTAATTAGCTCTCAACTAAAAATAGTGGTCAATGCCCCCCTCCCTGGGCTGTACACCTACCTCCTGGCCTGGGATTGGATGTGCGGGAGCCACTCTTGGGGTGACAGCCAGCCTGAGACAGAACCCACAGCAAGGAGGGTGCACTGAGCTGGAGGCTTTACTGAAGGGGACTCAGAAGCAGGCGTGGGCTTCTGTCACCAGCCAGGCCACTCCACTTGCCCCACACTGCCTGTGGCTCCTACATCCCCTCCCCATAGCTCCTGGACAGCTTGCACCAAATGAGTCTTACCCAGCCTTGGCAAAGAAACCAGGGAGGGCCTGCAAAGTCTGTTCATGGGAGGCCTGGGGACACAAGGCAGCTGTTTGGGGCAGCCACCTACATGACGACTACCACACAGTCCTTCCATCCACGGCCCAGCCATTCTCTTCCTGGAGCACCTGCCTCTCACTTGCAGCTCTGGAGCCAGGTCCTATGGTGCTTCTCCTCTGTCAGCAGGGGGATGAAAGTGTCGCTGTGGGACAGCTTCAGCCGGCTGCCCCAGCTGGGCCCCTCTTTCCCGGCAGGTTCTGGTGGGAGGGTATCCAGGTCGCTGCGGGAGCCCCCGGCCTTGCCCTCGCCTGCGCTGCTGGAGTTGAGCTCCATCAGTTCCAGCTCGTGCTTGGCGGCTGTCTCCAGGACACGCTGCTTGTTGTAGTACCTGACAAAGTTGTTGATGATGGGGTGGATGGGCAGAGCGATGGCGATGACGCCGCACAAGAAGCTGATGGCCGCGTTCAGCTTGCCCAGTGTGGTCTTGGGGTAGATGTCACCATAGCCCACGGTAGTCATGGTGATGATGGCCCACCAGAAGGACTGGGGGATGCTCTTAAACAGGGTTTCGGGATGGCTCTGCTCCATGGTGTAGCCCAGTGCCGAGAAGACGAAGATGCCCACAGCCAGGTACATAAGCAGCAAGCCCAGTTCCTTGAAGCTGCGCTTGAGGGCGTAGGTGAGGGTCTGCAGGCCGGAGGAATGGCGCGCCAGCTTGAAGATTCGCGCGATGCGCATGATCCGTAGAGCCTGGACCGCCTGCTGCACGTTGGTCAGCTCCATCATGCGGGCGCCCAGGTGCGTGAGCGTGAGGCTCACGTAGAAGGGGAGGATGGCCAGCACGTCCACGATGTTCATGAAGGACAGGGCGAAGTGCAGCTTGTTGGGCGACGAGAAGAGGCGCAGAAGGTACTCCAGCGTGAACCAGCCGATGCACGCTGTCTCCACGTTCTCCAGCGTCGGGTGCTCCACGCGATTGCCGTCGGCGTCCAGCACCTGCAGCTCCGGGATGGTGCCCACGCACATGACCACCGACGAGACGAGGATGAGCAGGAAGGATAGCACGGCCACCACCCGCGCCGGGCACGACGACTCGGGCTTCTCCAGGAACTTCCAGACACACTTCTGGCAGCGGCGCCAGCGGCCCTCGGTCGCGTCCACGCCCAGGTCGTCCAGGATGAGTTGCACTCGGCGCGCGATCTCCTCCAGCTCCTCGCGCTTCTCGCTCAGGTGGCTCTTGCAACAGTCGTCCAGGAACTTGAGGTCCACCTTCCAGAAGTCCATCTCGTTCTTGAAGCAGATGGGGCAGATGCCCTTCTTCATGTGGACCTCCCCGAAATAGTACACCTCTATGACACACTTGAACGCGTCCGGGTCCCTGTCGAAGTAGAACTCGCGCTTGCCGGGGTCGTAGTCGTCACACAGGGAGAAGATAGTGTCGTAGCCCCCGGCCAAGCAGTTAATGAGCTCCGCCAGCCGGGTCTCCGGGTACTGGCTGAGCAGGTCTCCGTACAGCACCTGCCGCACGCCCCCCACGTTAACGACGATCTCAATGTCGTCGCCGGTCGCGGAGCCCTGGCTGCCCGGCTCCGGCAGGCTGTGCTCCGCGGACCCGTCCATTCTCCCGGCGCGTGCCCTGGCGGCCCCGGCTCCGCGCGCCCAGCCGCCGCCGCGGGGACTCCCGCGGGTCCCACCGGTGCGCGGCCCTCCGGGAGGGCCTGGCCGGCTCCCGCCTGCCGGGAAGGGCGGTCACAGCGCGCGGCGGGGCTGGGGCGCGCCGCGGGGGAGGCATGCACCCGGCGGCGGGGATCCGGGCGGGCATCGGGCGCCGGGGCGCGCGGGGCGGGCGTGGGCTCTGGCGGCCAGCGGCCTCGCGCGGAGCACTCACCCCCGGCTCCCAGGCTGCGCGATCCTCCGCTTCGGCTCGGCCTCCTGCAGGACGGGGGTCTCCTGGTGGGTCGCGGGTACCGATCTCCTTCCTCCGGAGCGCGGGCAGCGGCCGGCGGGTCCTGGAGCTGCTAGATCCACGCCGCCCGCCGAGGTGTGCGGAGAGCGAACTTGGGCTCGCTTCGCCCAAGCGGTTTCTAAACACAATAGGAATTCCAGCCTGACGTCAAGAGCTTTCAAACTGTACCCTCTTCTGGTGAAATCCTGCACGGCACGCGCGGCAGCTGCAGGGGAACGGGTTAACCCTTGGGCAGACGGGCACAGCTGCCGCGCCACCGCGCCACCGCCCGCCACTGCAGGCGCAGCGGGCCACCGAGAGGCCAAGACCCGGGGCTTTAAAGCCGCACTGGCTCAGACTGCGAAGTCCCTCTCTTGTCGATGGGGAAGGAAGGGGATGCTCGGCAACAAGCTCAGGAAACCCCTCCTAGGCTGGGACTCTGTCCGAGGTCCCTCCTTTTATCCTTGAAGGTTTCCGTCACTCCCTGGGGGTGTCACCTTATCCCTAACACTACTATGAGGACATCTAGTCCAATCCTCTAGGAGAGGAGGACCTCTAGGACAGGAAGACCTTGCCCCAGGTCACACAAGGAAAGGGAACACAGCTTGGTCACCCTCGTCGATCCAGGGCTTTCGTGCTGTCTGCTCTGCAGATTTAAATTCTGCCAAAGTCCTTGCCCTCACCCATCCTGTTTCCTTGCGTCCCAGCACCACTGCCACTAGCTCCTGCACCCCCATTCCCCACTCCTTGGTGAGGCCTCTGTTCTTCCTGCAAGATGGCCCTCACCCTCCTTCCCTCTCTTCTATCTTTTCAGCCATAACTGTCTTTCCCGGATCCATCTCAACACCCTCCTAACTGGCTTAGCTGACAGCACTGCTCTAATCCATCCAACAGTCCCTGCCGCCCCTGGTATTAATCAGCGTCCTGGAGACCATGTTCACAAATGACCTAAGGGAAGGGCAGATAGGCAGAGAGTCAGAGGGTGTTTAGGGCCGTGAATCTATCCTGCTTAATAACGTAATTGTAGATACATGTTATTTTACATTTGTTAAAACTCACAGTGTTAGCAACACCAAGCGGGACCCTGCTCTGGCATGTGGACTTTGGTGATAATGTAACAAGCCCACCACTCCTGTAGGGAGGTGCTTATGAGCACCTGTACAGGTGCTCATAATTGGGGAGCCTGTGGAGATAGCGGGAGTCTAAGGAACTCTGTACTTCCTGTCCGTTTTTCAGTGAGCAAAATTGGAATATATCACACAAAGTATTTGTTGGTGAAATGTTTTACAAACTTCTTACAGTCTTAAGATATTATTCAGAATAGGAAAATAGAAAGGTTGGATCCTAATAATCACGGCTCCTATTGACACTGTAAGTACACCATGCACCAGGTACTCTGAGAGCTTCATGTTACTCTCACTTAGTCCCCACTGCAGCTCTCTGAGGAAATAAGGATGTCAAGTAACTGCTGCCAGCAAGCTGTGGATGTGGGTTTGGCCTGGGGACTGCTGGGCTCTGAAGCCATTCCCCCCAATGCAGTGCAGTACAGCACCTCCCACTCACGCCAGATCCACCTTCCAGGCCTTCCTCCTGCTCAGCTCTCTCCAGTGGCGCCTCCTACCTGCAGGGTTCAGTCCAACTTCCACCTTGGTCTGAGCTTAATGGACTTAAAAGTGCATCTTCCTTCAATCACTTAAATATTCATTGAGCTACCTCTAACCCTGGGTGCTGGACAGAATTCATAATCTAATGGAAATTTTATTTATTTATTTAGTAAATAACAGTCACAGTTTAGAGCCATCGGTGCCACAGAGAGATAATGCTCAAGGACTGAGTACCCCAGCGGGAGGGGCTGAGTGGCCAGCTGCTTGGAAGAAGGAGGGCTGCCTTTGGTTGGAAGCACAGAGTTCACTTGGTTTGCATTGGGGTGACTGATAGAGACCCCTCAGGGAGGACCCCACCTGCCACCCCTTAGTGCTGTCACTATGTGCTTCAGGAATGCAGGGGGTTGCAGACATCTCCCCAGGAAAGGCCAGGGTGTTAAAGTAATATCCCAGGATTTTAACTTATAGAGGTGACTGACTGCTGACAGAGAGGCCAAGGCTCCTTCTTGAAAGATCGATTTATTATGTGCTTACATGTCCTAAGAAAAGGGCACAGGCTGGAGGAGACAGGCTTGGCCAGGTAGAGCCAGGAGGAAAAGGGGAATGAATTCTGGGATTTTATTGGGCACTAACGAGTTTGAGTAATTCTGGTGGACTTTAGGCTATGGAGTGGTCTCCAGGTGTCTGGTGTCTGGCCCTGGTTCAACTAGCTGCTGAGCAAAGCTGGAAACAGACCACAAAGGGCCAATGGGCAGCTGGGGAGTCTGGCCCACAACCAGCCTTTCACACTCAGGTCATGGCACAATAGTTGGTTGTGAAGTCAATGTATTGAGTACTAGCCAGCATTTTTAATTGAGCTAGTATAGAATAGAGCATACCAGTGTATATAAGACATGGAAAAGAAGTATGATTTGAACTTGGTCAGAGCAGCCAGAAGGCTGACTTGGGCTCCAGCACATCAGTTCCTCAAATTCTGGACTCCAGGGGGAGAAAACTGGTCTAGAGTTGATGGGGAGGACCAGCAGCAAGTGCAAAGCCCAGCAAAGATGTCCCCAATCGGCTCCTGGCAGATCAGGCACCTGCTGACACGAGGGAGGTGAGAGAATGCCAGCCACTAGTCACAGGTGTAGGCTTCTGAGTGAGGGAGAAGCAGTCCTGCTCAAAGCATGAAATAAATCACCCACTGGCAGACGAGGGAAGTGAGACAGGTGCACAAACACTGCACTGTAAGGAGCAGGCCCAGCATGACTTCCAGAGGACAGCGGAAGGCTGGCACCCACACCCCTCAGTTTCCCTAGCTATAAAGCGGGTGATGACACATCTACAGTGGCCATTGATTGAATGGGACAGAGGGCAAAGTGGCTATGCATGGCTCTGCCATTTACTGATGTTGAGAGGTTGTGGGATGAAGTACGCCTCCAAAAGACCCAGTTAAGTCTTGGCCTCCAGCATCTGTGAATATGGTCTCATTTGGAAATAATCTTTCAGATAAAAGTAAAGTTGAATGCCAGGCACGGTGGCTCACGCCTGTAATCCTAGCTACTCAGGAGGCAAAGATCAGGAGGATCGTGGTTTGAAGCCAGCCAGGGCAAATAGTTCCGTGAGACTCTATCTCGGGGGAAAAAAAAAACCTTCACCAAAAAAGGGGGAGGGGGACTAGTGGAGTGGCTCAAGGTGTAACCTCTGAGTTCAAGCACCAGTACCACAAAAAAGAAAAGTAAACTTGAGGTCATTCTGGAGTAGGGTAGGCTTAAATCCAATCATGGGTGTCATTTTAAATGGGAGACATTTTAAAGTATATACCATGTATACTCACAGAGGCAGAGACCAGAGTGAGGCTGCCCCCACCAAGGAGCATAAGGGACTGCAGGCAACCTCCAGAGACGGTTAGGCCCCAGGAAGGAGCCAACCCTGGTGACACTTTTTTTTTTTGGCAGTACAGGGTTTGAACTTAGGACCTCATGCTTGCTAGGCAGGCACTCTGCCACTTGAGCCACTCCTCCAGATAACTCTGAGAACACTCTTGATTTTGAACTCTGGCCTTCAGAACTGAGAGAATACAGTTCTGTTGTTTTAACCCACCCAGTGAGTGGTACTTTTGTCATGGTAGCTTTAAGATACTGATACACTAATTCACCTCCAAAAACTCTAGTTTTTCATCTGTCTAATAAGGTCATAGCCTTGATACACAACGATGACAACGCTCTCACCTGCTCTGTCCCAGCCAGAAGCCTCTGGCTACATGTGGCTATTACACATTTGAAATGTGTCTAGTGACAGCAAAGAGCTGAATGCTTCATTGTATCTGATTTTTACCAGCTTTATTAAGTGTAATTCACATGCACACAACTGACACATTTTAAGTGGATTACCCAACCGTTTTTAGTATATTCACAGTCGTGCAACCACCACCACAGTTAGTTTTAGAACGTTTTCATCACCCCAGGATTGAATCCTGAACCTATAGCCAGGAACCCCAGCTTCTTCCAGCCCCAGGCAGCCACTACTCTATTTCTTTGTCCATGGATTTTCCCATTCTGGGTATATTGTATTAATGGACTCCTATAGCACAATGAACGTTTATGACTAGTTTTGTTTGCTTTTCATGCATTTTTCCCCAGTACTGGGGATTGAACTCAAGGCCTTGCACATGCTAGGCAAGCACTCTATCACTTGAACCATGCCCCCAGCCCTTTTTTGTTTTTATTTTGTTTTTGAGACAGGGTCTCACTACTTTTTCCCATGCTGACCTCGAACTCAAGATCCTCCTGCCTCCACTTCCCCAGTAGCTGTGATTACCAACGTATGCCACCATGCCCAGCCACCTACTATATTTTTAAAGCACATCCGTATTTTTATGGTTGAATAATAATCCATTGCATGTGTAAATCACACCTGGTTTCTAGCCCCTTGTAGCCAGTGGCTACCATATTGAGCAGGTCAAGTGAAGTGGGCAATGAGGACAAAAGGCTGGGCCTCCTGGGCAAACAGAGGGACAGCAGCCCAGACAGGCAGGGAGGGTCCCAGCCAAGGTCCTGGGCCTGGCACGCACTTTACACAGACTGTGCTCTTAGACTGTAGCACTACCCCACTCAGTCCTGGGCCCATTCTTTCCCACCCTTCAAAGTTCTCGTCTGTACTAGGAGGTCTCCCACAACTATGCAGCTTCCTTCTTACCCCCCGGGATGAGGGTCCCTACCCTGTATGCTCACACAGCCCCCTGCTTTCCCCTAGTGCATGGTCAACCCTTCTCCAGAACACTGGGTCATTCTGGCGACTGTGTCCAGCACAGGGTCTGATCCAGGGAGTGGGTAGGTAGATGGAGGCAAGGGATAAGAGAATGCTTCATCATGCACAGAGCTCATGCAATTTAGCAGCCCACAAGGGCATCAAGCTTCTGATGGGCCTTAATTTGCTGTCATTCTACAGAGTGGGAGCCCCAGCAGTTTCTGAGGCGTGGCAATAAACAAGACATGGCCTCCAGAGCATGCTCTACCCTTGTGCTCAGACTGACAGGTGGTGAGAACAGGCTATAGCTG